TGGTCGAACAAACACGCACACACGCACAGAGTTAAGAAATTGGTTAAACCAAAAAGGAGCTACGACAGGAGCCCAACCAGGTTGAAAGGTGTCCTGAAAAAAATGCGGCACAGTAGATAGCACGAAGGAGCTGTAATTGTCGAAGTCTTTAAGCTCGGGGGTATGCAACCTGGGTCCCCGGTGCCGGTGCTTTGTCAGAGTTCAAGAAGACGCTGTCTTACAGTACTGTTGAAGAGAAGCATCAGAACTCATTTGCGAAAACGGAGCACTTGTGGCAATCTGATGCAAATCTGATCAAGCCTAAACCCTAAACCCCTTATGTAGGGAACCTCCTCTCTCAATGCCTGCCCATCCCTCGACTAAGGCACCCGGACAAGCCCATCAGGAGAAATTCTACTTGTGAAGAGTAGGGTCATTTGGAAGCCTGAAGATTTAGTCACTCTTCAGTTGGCTGTTGTGCTGCGTAAGTATACTATAGCTACTATACAATACCAAGGACGGCCCCGATTCTTCTTTATAATGCACATTAAACCCTAAGCCATATATGTGCTAGGAACGTGCACGCACTCTTGCTGCGGCACGGGACAAATCCGCGGCAGAGCACTCCTTCAGTGCCCAACTAGGCCCGGGCCTTGTGGAAATTAGTGGGGTTTATACCTGTGGCCCAAAAGACTTGCTTCCTAAGGAACTACATATAGAGGCCATGATAAGGAACCCTACGAAACGTAGGTCTTTTCAGCTACAGGTGGGGCCGCTGTAACGGTGAAGGATTATGGACTTACGTAGAGGTTTCGGGGATCGCAAAGGCCCGACAAGGGCTAAGGGCACCGTCAAGCTCGGGTGCGGGCATTTCGCTTGTTTTGTTTCTATTAAGCGGCTCGAAGCTGCTGGAGTGTGAGGATATGAGGGCTATAGGGCTTGAGGGCTCTACTTGCACAGTAAATATATACCTCAGGCTGGGAGGCATGGAATACGGCTGTAAGGGGTTCAGGAATTGTGGGGTTCAGGGCTTCGGTCTTTGCGCTCCGATGTAGGGGATTGTTGCAAAACATGTTTCATGGCAAGCTTCCCCGTGTGAACTTTTCAATGCATGAAGGATACTCTTGTACACCTCGTGGCGGGAGTCCTACTGCCGGCTGTCCTCTCGTAAGGCTCCAAGACTTCCCCGCCGGAAATCTGAAGATGCCGTGCTAAGACTGCTCGTTGAAGAATGCAACGCTCGTGACTTGAGCTTTCCAAGGCCCAACCAGGAAGTCTATGGTCTCATTCAGTTTCATGCCCTTTGGAGTATTGCAGACGAAAAGTTCCGGTCTTCACAGCATCAAAGATCCGGGACATGTATGTCCTAAACCCATAAACAGCGCAAAGATTTACCAACGCTATCCCATAGCGTTCCTACCTGTTGTATTTCGGTGACAGAATGCACCCCAAAGTCCTTTTCTATTTATTTGCGATTAAATTGAGAACCCTTTAGTAGGGCAAGAAGGTATCTACCACCTGTCGGGCTAGCAATACCAAAATCCTCCTACTGGACCGCTTAAAGCCTTCAATCCCTCCAAACCCTACAACCTATAAACCCTGCACAAAGCCCTCATAAACCCCCCCCAACAAATGCCAAACATCCCACCTTTGAAGGCTCTCCGATCACCAGATTCGAGCGTCTTCGCTACCGGATGCGTCGCTTCTTGGGAAGCCCGTCCTTCGAGGACGATTGAGGGTTCCCTTTCTGGTTTTAGTTGAGGGGCTTTGTGGGTTTAAGTTTCGGTTCTTGAGTGTTTGAGGGTTTGGTAAGGAGGAAGGGTTTGAAAGGTAAGGTGAGGGTGCATAAGGGTTTCATCGGGGCTTTTCCAAAATCCCCTTGTTGACGAGAGGGTGCCCAGCTTGCGACGGAGTCACCTCAAAAAGGGCTTGAGTGTTCCGTTCAGGCTGCCTTTGTGTTGTCGGTAGCATCTGTTATGGCAAGCACCCTCCTACTCCAAACCCTACACCACAATACCACTCAACCCTAAATCGTTTCACGATCCCGAAGTTCTCCATTCCTGAAGCCCTTCGGGAAGCATAAGAGACTCCCCTAGAGCCCCTGATCCCTGGTTCCTCCATTCTCTTTCCCCTTTATAAGCCCAAAGGTCCCCTGTGTCGGGAGGTCTTCGTCGGCTGTCTCGTTGCCTCCAATGCGGTCATAATCGGCATGGAGGCTTTCGATTGCGTGAAGACCCCAGCCCAGCACATGCCTAGCAGTGCGACATGATGCCCCAACACCCCAGGGGTGAGAAGCGCCGGTCTTTGCGGTTCTGAGGAGGCAACAAAGGACTCTATACGGTAGACGTGCAGCAACCTTATATAACCCAGATGAATTCTCACTACTCGTAAGACCATTCCTTTACGCACTGCTAATATACTAAGCACCGCATGCAAAGCCGCCACATGTCGATTTTTCTTAGGCCTCTATAGAACCGCCCCCAAAACGCAGGTGGAGCATTTGGCCCAACACCTCGAGGAGCTCTCACCAGCCACTGGAGATGCAAGGAGGGACCTGCAGGACCTGACGACTCCTAACCCCTAAAAGCAGGGGTCTTGTACCCTGATGCTATGAATCCCCCTAAACCCCTACAAGCCCTAAGCCCTACATTGTATATTGTGAACCTTAAACCCTTTTAAGGGTCATGTCGTCTTGAAGGGAAACTCTGGGGCCTTGAGCCTTTACCGAGGATTAGGGTTGAGGTACAGGAGTTTTGTTTACGGTTCGGAGCCTTGGGGATTTAGGCTTCTAGGGTTTAGGAGGGCTTTTAAGGCTGGGGTTTTGGTGTTCAGGGTTTAAGGCTGTTCTGAATTCGAGCTCGTAAACAGAAGGAAGTCGTATAAGCGTCGGAGGATTCACAGCACGAGCCCGCTTCCGATACGAATATTGGTTCGCGCCTTCCGCATCATGTGAGTGAAAGACGTCCTGGCCCATGCTTCCCCCCGAAAAGGGTGTTAAACGCCTTGTGCATCTTCTTTGGCCGAGGGTTGCCTTTGAAAAACGACCCAAGCCCTCTCCAGGCAGTTTTCGGAGGCGTCTGGTTATCACGTCCGAAGACTGCCTAAGGAATGGTATCAGTGGGTGCACATGATGCGGCTGAGTTGCATTGAGATGCCTCCGTGAAGATCTTCACTCTTCCATAAACTGCACGCCTGCACCTCCAACTGCGCACTCCACGAAACCCGAAGGTCGAAGCCCACCCTTGTTTGATTGAGCAGGGCGTGAATAATGAACGACACCAGCAAGAACGGAAACGAGATGGAACATGAAGGCAGCTATGACCAAAAGCATCGTTGTCACCAACAACATCACAGTACCCAGGGATCGAAAGTCGAGCGACGGAGCAGGTCCGCTTATGAATGAAAGTGTTCAGGTTTTGAATTGAGGTGCTGGATGCGGCTTGTATTGGCTCGTTGTGATATCCCTTCATGTGGAGAGCAGACAATGTTCACCAAGGGGGTCGAAACGAATTCGCCAGGCTTCCCTGTAGCCTTGTCAATTTACATAGCCCGCAACTTTATTCCGAGTACTCCTGGCCCCTATGGTAAGCAACATGCTTATCTGATGTGTTGGAAGCCCCACGAGCATTGCTGGGACTCCGAGCATGCCTCCGATGGCCTGGTAGAACCCTGGAATCTCAACAGCTTCAGAGTCTTGATGATGTTGGGTAACTCCAGTAGGTCTTAGGGGCTACAGGTAAGCCGTGCATCAACCGGAAAATGGAGCATGACTCTTCGGCTTGCGGATTGGAACTGATGCCCTGGATTCTGAATATATGTCTCTTCCTGTGGGGACACATGTCTCTAAACCCATTTAGAGGTCCTGAAACTCCCACATCATTGAGCCTTCCGGAACTTTGCCTTCAAGTTTGGATTCTTGCAGGCTTCAGTGTTTGGGGTGTCATTGCAGGGTTCTGAATTACGGAGTCTTTCAGAACTCGAAAAGACTTTACGGCGCAGGGTTCACGGTTTGTGCTCACAGTTTAGAAGGCCCAAATCCCATATTCAGGGCTACACAGGCATCGCATGGAAGTAAGACATCCGGGCATCCATAGGAGCAGGTTTTGTTAAAGCGGGAATCTTAAACTCTTGAAGTCTAAACTGACTCTAGATTTATAAACGCTAAGCAAAATCCAGAAACTTGGAACAGAAGGTATGCTGTGGTCTTCACAGTTGAGTTGCTTCTTCGCATTGGGGCCTACGGCGTGCACATCTACAGTGACGTGGAGCTGCACCCCGGCTACACGCAGACGTCTTTTATTTCAGTGGTGCCTTGCACAATGTCAGACTAGGATTTTGAGAATTAACCTAAACCCTATACTCTAGGAGATCTAGAGTTTCCGGAATTCCTAAACTCTGAACCCTAAGATTTTTCGAGTTTATCGCATTGGGGCCTTTAGATTCTGAGCGCGATCGGGCTTGCAACTCTTGCTCTTTCATCCCGAGGGGTGTCTTTTCAGTATTTTGATCTACACCCCAAGCCCCGAACGGTTTAGGCTTTAGGGTCTGGTTTAGGGTTTAGTTTGGGGCTTATATGTGGCCCAAAGAACTTACCCTTTTTACAGGAAAGGTATACATATATATATATATATATACATATATATATACATATATATATATATATGTGTGTGTGTATATATAGAAACCATCATAATAAACCATGCAAAGGTCGGCTACAGGTAGGTTCAGAGTTTAGGGCTCAGTTCGGGTTCAGGGATTAGAGTCTAGGCCAAACTATCAAAGTCCCGCTCAGATCACAGTCCTACCTATAGTCTCTATTGTAAAAATTAGAATCCTGCAAGGTAACCCCAAACAGGCACTACAATGGAGGCTATCAGGCAACCCTATGGAACTCCGTGGACTATCGGCCGTTCACCATGAGAAGGAATTGCAACCCAGGGTCTGGATGAACCTTCGCCCCCATCCCCTAAATCTCAAAATCCCGAAACTCGGAACCTTGACCCCAAGCCCCTAAAACTCTGAAAATCCCTAAGTAAGGCACTTGCGAAGTTTTGTCTGCCTCTGAGCTTTCGCCTTGCAGGTTTCGCTGGGCGGCCTTAGACTTTGTCATCGTCGAAGCTCAGCTGCCTTTCAAAAGGGGGGCGAGTCTTAGAGTGGGGTAGTTTGGCATGTTTTGAGGGATAGTTTGGTAGTTCAATGGATTGGGTAGTATAGTGTTGGGATGTATTGGGAAAGTTTGGCGTGGTGAGGTGGAAGGAGGCGGTGCGTTTCCATGAAGACTGCCTTTATTCCTGCTTCTTCACATTAGGGGTTCCGGATTTGGGCAAGGTCCTTCTGTTAAGGTTCGTTTGCTCATTCATACATGGACAGTGGGCGCGACAATCCTATTCCTATTCTTAAGGCCCGATATCAGTGATATTTGTTTTCTTAGTCTGATCTGGGCTTTGTTGGAAAAGCACAAGAAACGCTCAACACAGACCATGCCTTGCAGCTACTAGAGTTCCCTATGTTCTTGTGGTGTACTGCGGACCCATTTCCGTCCTGAATGTGCAGGCCCTTACCTTATGGTCAGGCTGTTGTCCCGCGAGCTTGACGGTCCGTGCTTGATGACTTCACAGGGTGGAGAAAGCAGAGGTTTAGGATACCAGCGTCATTGCAGAATTTTCGCCCACCGAGGGGATGGCAGGCGGTTTCGACGGTCAAGATCAAAGAATGCAGAGCAATGCCCCATCTCACCAAAGCTTTTCAGACCTTAAACAAGCGAGCTTTGCACCATCTCCAACTACGAAAACTGGAACTTTCAACCCATTATAAGCTGTAAAGCCCTCACTGAAAAGCCGAACAGGTGTCCTCGTGGGTGGACTTGATCGCCCAGTGGTCGGCGACACAGGCGTCTTCAGAAGTCTAATATAGTTCGATAAACACTACGTAGCGCACAGGCCACGTCCTCTTCGTCACTGAGTTCATTGTAAAATTCTATACTTTGGTGCTCGTGCGCATGGTGCCTTGTGTTCATTTTCAATTCGAGTTCGTTCGAACTCAGTTCAGGTCCAGGTGCGGTTCTACTCCCCGGGCCTTGTTGCTGAAGACTCCGTGCAATGAAGCTGTCATGGAAGACACTATTAAGAAAAGAGAAGATGCAGAAGGCGGCACTTCCAAAAGGAGCACGATGCCCTTTGCACTTCCAAATGCAGTTGAAAGCAAGATGCCGCGGAACGCGCAAGAGGCCTCCGGAGTCCCAAATGCTCTTCTTGAACAAAGCCCCTTTCCACAAAAAGGCTCTCAAAGTGTCCAGGGGTTTCATACTCTTCGTGTTTGGGCCGTGACACTCCCAAACTGAAAATCTAAGCTCAACTCAATGGGTGTTCCCATTCGGGGTGCCCCCCTCAAGTCATCAAGATGGTACTGCACCTCAATAGGACCCCAGAGACTGTCAGGAAGCCGCCATGACGGGGCTTGCTCCAGTGCGTGTGGCCAGAGTGTAGCTGGGCACGGCAGAAAGATTCCGGGTTGGAGCAGTTCAAAGGTAGAAACTGCAAAGTGTAAGGTTTTGCACTTCTGTCTTTCGTAGGTCACGCCGTAGGTACGGTGTACAGATGGCCTTGGATTTAGGGTGCGGCGATGTGCAGAGTAAACCAGTTCTTCCTTCTGAGGTCTGAGGGTATAGTTGCAACGAACGACAACTTGTGTGAAGGGTTATTTCTGTAAAGCTTACACTATACCCCACAATCTTATTCCTTACCAATGATCATGTGCTCAAAAGCTGGTGTTATGAAGCCTCAAACTCCAACACCTGCCACATGTGCGCCGACAGAAAACCCAGGAAGATGTAACTCAGCGACTCTTGGGAACGTCTTTGCGGTTGTTTCGTTGTCGTTTGGGTTATGCACGTAGTGGCTGATCTTTTAGGGACTCTAGGGTTCCAACAAAACAACGTAGCATCCCCGATCAGCTGAGGATCAATATAACTCTGAAACCCGCACATGCCCCTCGGGAGTAAGTCTGTTTGTTTGCAGGTAAGCACTATAATGTAGGAACCTGATTAAGAAACCCTGGCCCTATTCACCCCAGAAGATCAGCACCATTTGTTTCGTATTCAGATTCCTATTTTGCAAGCGCGATAGAATTGCGCAAAGGCTGCGAATCACGCGGCTGATCCGCGTCACACGTCTGGCCAAGCTCATGCTTTGGCTGAAGGCTCGCCGAGCTGTATGAAAGGTCCGCAGCCTCCAAAACCCGAAGCCTGAAACCCTGGGTCGTAAATCCCCT